CACCCTCTCTCTGAAAAGCCATTGGGCAAATAGCCTTGGGTGAGGATTCACAACAACAAAAAGATGCATATAAAAATACAGAATACTAAAAGGAAATTACTAACAGCAATGCATTTTTTGACAGTTGTTATAAGGTATTGTATTTGATAATTTAGACAAAGTGGATAGAAATCTGGAGAAGTAGGAAAATACCAAATTGAGGCAAGAAAAGTGGAAAACTTTAATAAATCAGTAACCATCCAAGAAATTAAAACAATTTTTAAAGATCTTTTCTTAAATGAAGCCCCAGACCCAGACAGTTTTATAGGTGTATTTGCCAAATATTAGAGAACAAATAATCCCTATACTAGATGAATTGTTATAGGAGTAATAAAAAGGTAAGCCACTCAACCCTGCTGCCAAAAATCCTATATAATAAAAGCATAGTATGCAAATTTTCCCCTTGACCTGGAGGTCATCTGGGAATTCGAACAGGGGGCAGGGCTGGCTGGAGGTAAGGGAGGGAGGCCCCAGCTGGCAACTGGCAGGACTGGGCCTCTAGTATATCTATGATAATAAAAGCATTATATGCTAATTAGACCAGACAGCCGAACCACCTTCCGGACATCATTCTGGACGTCCTTCCGGACGAAGCTGCTGTGGCAGGGGCCGAGGCAGAGGCAGTTAGGGACAATCAGGCAGTCAGGCGAGTGGTTAGGAGCCAGCAGGTGGTCCCGGTTTTAAAATTTATTTTTACTTTTTTTATTGATTTCAGAGAGAAAAGGAGAGGGAGAGAGAGAGAGAACATCAATGATGAGAGAGAATCACTGATCGGCTGCCTCCTGCACACCCACACCAGGGGTTGAGCTACCAACCCAGGCATATGCCCTGACCAGGAATCGAACCGTGACCTCTTGGTTTATAGGTTGATGCTCAACCACTGAGCCATGCTGGCCAGGCTGGCTCCACTCTTGCCCCCTCCATTCCATCCTGGGAGCAGCCAGAGTGATCTTTCAAAAGAACAAAAGTGCCCATCAGTCTGCCAGAAACCCATAATTGGCCACCCAAGGCCTCCCCTCCTCTCCCCCACCCCAGCCACTCTGGCCAGGCCAGCCATGGAGGTCGCCAGCCCAGGAGGTTTCCAGCCCATCCTTTTGCCAGCCTTATCCCAACCAGGCCCGTTGTCACCCTGGAGACTTACCCTTCCACTCCCTTTCTTAGGACCCGATTCTTCTTGGTCCCCTTGGATGCAGCTCCAAGGTCACAAGGTCTGCCTCTGACCTGGACATCCCCTTGTCACCAGCCCACTAGAGCCATGGGCTTTTTGCTCCCCACTAGAGGAGGACCCCTGAGGGCAGGGCCAGTGTGGACAGCTCCCTGTGCCTCCCACTCGGGCACATGGCACACGTGGGTGGAGACAATGAGCGGGGCCGGGAATGGCAGGCCTGAAACAGAGACGGAAGGAGACTGTACAGGGTCTCGGTGCCAGAGGCATGGCTGGACAGGTTCCCAGGCTTCCATTCGGCCAGCACCTCGGGTGGGAGGAACCAGTTGCCTTCAGCTCATGCCCCTGACTCTTGCCACGCCAGGGCCCCCAGTGACCCACATTCAGGAAAAGGAGGACACGGGGCTCCCACCTGTCTTAGGGGTCAATGAGACACAGGAAAAGTGGGAACCCGGCTGGGAGTGGGCAGGGAATGTGATGCCCCTGGGAATATGAGGGATCGCCTCTGGGAAGGCTCCCACAGGGCCAAGTGGGAAGCCAGGGAATGTCCCCAAAGGGTCAA